ATAGTTCTTCTCTATCTTTTTAAATACTTTACTAATATTATATTACCAAAACAGAATATTTACTAGTAACAAGTGATTTTTCAGTAGATATTCTATTCTGATAATACGATATATTAAGATGTTTGAATAATGGATCGTATATCTATATATATAATTTCTGCTTAGGCTCGATTTCTTCAATCCTGTTTACGAAATTGCACACAGATCCGCGGTCTAGTTATAACAAAGATAATCAGAGATTTGGTGTCCATATGGTTCGAATGTCGTTCGTGGAAACGTCGATCGACCAAACATCCACCCACGGTAGAAAGGTTGAAATTTGCCTCTTGCATCTCTGGAGGAACCCTTGCACCTCGGTTTTCATCGATTTGTCGGGGACACAATGTCTCACGCGAACCGGAGACTCGTATTATGTCGAAGTCGACACGAGGGATTTAAATGCCGGCGTTCGAAACGATCGCGTCCGCTTGTGCTCGAGTTGTGGAGCAACGTGTGTTCATTCACACACAATCGCAAAGCACAGTCACCGCTGGTTTAATAAAACTTGTCGTGCATGCATATGCAAAGCTGGCTTGTTTTCTAATGACATCCTCTGCGCATCGTGCTCTTCCGCCAGTACAGTTTGCGGTATGATTTCGTTTAACCTCGCATACGTCTTGATATTCAATTTAAATCGAAGTATTGTAGCCATTGGAGCTCTATCAATTGGAAATCGCAATTCGATATATATATAGTGGAAATCTTTTAATTCGTAACTTTGGTTTCATTGATTTTGGATTGTAATTATGGATTATTAATCTCTGGAAGAAGTCTGAACTTTTATTTCATTAGTGCAATATGATTGTCAGAGTAGTAATTTTTTATACAAATTTTATAATATTGAAACGGAGCAAATTTAAAGATTTGAATTGATTTTTCGTAGCTTGTGTTTTTCGTTGTATTCGCATATATGTTCTATTAACAGAAAATCACGGCTCAGTACGTGTAAGGACTTTACAATTCGTCGTAATTCAGGTTTTATTAACCTTAGACCTCAACTATGAACTACTCGTTTCTGAGAGAAGATTGAATTCTGTTTTTCATTGATCACAATTTAACTACCAGCATCAAAACGATTAATTGGTAATTTTTCATAGAAATTTCATGAACTTAAAACGGAGGCAATTTTAGAAATTTGAACGAGAAGCTTATGTTCTTTATTATATTATTCCATACACTATAAGAATTATATATAATTAATAAGATAAAAATTTTGTACTTTAATCGTCGATAGTTGCAACGTTAATGAAGAATTTTAAAGTATCCTCAAACACCAAGAAACGTATGAGAAACAAAAAGGAATTCAACGCGGGCAAAGTTACATTCAAACAAATTCGCGATTTAGTAATAAAATATCAAATCAGTGGCGAACGGAACAGTAGTAGAAACACGAACATCTAAAGGTCAGGATTGTGAACGGGAATTCTAATTTCGGAAAAATGTTTTCGCATGTTTGCGTGTTTGTTCGAATAGTAATGCATTGTCCCGGTCAGATATATTTCTCGTCTCCTATTTCCTTGCGTTACAGCACCGTTTAGGAATTCCCTCGAATTCGAATAAAATTTGAGTCTCGATGACGGGCAACGAAATAATCCCGTGCAGCCGGCCAGAACTTCGATTTCGTCTATTTTTATGTACCAAGGTGGAGCAACGGGCGCATCTTGAAAGTAGTAGTTCTGCGCTCTGTACCGCGGGACACATGAATTCATTCATTAAAGACGATAGCTCTTTAATGCTTGCGAAGGATGAGACCGTTGTCCACCGTTGTCACCGGGCATGTGTACGCGATCGATGTGGGCGTGTGCCGTGGATCACGCGACCCTCGTTTACAATAATACCCTTTGACACACACGGCCAAATGAAACCCACGCGCCTCTTGAAAGGATCTCCTCGCGACGTCGACGAAAAAAAAAAAGCGGATTCTTTCAGGCCGGGTCGCGCTCCATTCAGTAGGCCTTTAAACTTTCAGCTGACCCGTTAGCGAAACCAGACGATCGACCGGTTTCTTCGACGATGTCTCACGAATCCAGACGTCCCGTTTTAAGCTGCCGATGTCTCTTTGATACCTATCGTAGTCTGGAACCTGGCCTGTGCAGACGTTTGGAAACCGCGTCTCTTGCCTGGAATTTCTGGAATATCGTTGATCCACTTATAGCCAAGGATTCAGCTTGGTTGATCATATTAGAGTGTGTATGTGTGTGTGTGTGTGTATATAATATTGGCAAATGCTAGAGACGGGATCGAGTACCTCACGAGTATGTTCAAGCATTTAATTGTTGAATTCGAGTCCTTTACGTATTTCGAATAGTTTCGTGACTATTTCTAAAAATTAAGACATTACATCGAGTAGCTCGCAGGTAGGTTTGAACCTTTTTAAGCATCGACATTTTGACGTATTCTTCATTTTTCAATTGGATGGAACATGTACGCGATTGTCTGATGTGACTTTTTAATTCGGAGAATCCACGAATTAACATTGGACGATTTTTCATGTGACATTTTGTTTGAACGAAGCACATTCCTGTTCTTTACGAATTTCAAACGTATGAGTATATACGTGTTACTTATTCTTACTCGTTCTAAAATCAACTGGCTTCAAGTGTAATTATTGAAACGTTTTTAGTTTGAAACAATTCGAAAACCTGTGAAATTTATGTACAAAATACGTAATATTGGACTTGATCCCATCCCTAGCAAACGCGTCATCGTGCCTGTTAATCGGGATATTACTTCATCGGTCTAGCAAAGAGCACAAGAGTAAACGACGTCTGCTTCCAGCGATGACGACATCAGGCTTGTCGAACTTATACGCTGGCACGAACCTCTAGATCCAAGAATTCCAGCATAATTTCTGTGATTTGTACGCGGTTGTATTTAAGAATAAATAGAGCTGAATTGTAAACGTTTCGATGCATCGTACTTGTATCTATTGCTTTATTACTGCTCGTATCGTTTTATTTCTCTAATAAAATCTTCCACGCAGGAAGTCTGCTCTAATACTTTATATCGGAATATAATTGCAAAAGGTGTTTTCTCTTCCTGTTTTTCTTTCTTTCTTTTTTTCCTTTTTTCGTTCGTTGGCTCGCTTGTAACGTTGCGCAACGTCATAGCAGTGCTCAGATTTATGTAATTACTCTTTTGTGGGGATCGATGCTTGCGTGGCTGTGTAACGAGATATTCGGCCAGAATTGAACGTTAAATCGTGATTTCCGTTTTAATGATAATGCACGCGAGTCTCTCCCTTTGTGTGCGTCTCTCCCTGTTCGTGCGTGACTCACCGGCCGCGCTCAGGCTCCTCAAACTATCGCGAAAACCTCGGGGAATCACTGCGTGTGCATTTTTCCGCTCGTTCTCTCGCGGCAAGGCTGCACTAATGGTATTTGCAGCGACAAACAACGTCCCAGTATGGCTCTGATTCCATGCAATTGAGGTTGAATTACTATTTGCTCTCCGGCATTGCATAAGGGACTCTTTTCAAAGCCGGTGTCTCGTTGATTTGAACTAGCAGTCTCGGCGGACCGTGTCGGTCAGGGTCGTAGTGCATATTATTTTCGCGGCTGTTTTTCCACTCCGAAAGATGATTAATCCCGAGTTTTTCAAGGATTTCATATTGAGTATCTTTTTTTTTTACTCGGTGGCTTTAATCATCGAATCCCGTTCTCGTCGATCGATCGTGAAATCGGTCGCGATATTTTGTAGCGCGTTTATCACGTTTAATAATACCTGACTTGTATATTTCGATAGACACGGCATTGTAAATATCGCCGCTTTATTGGCTTTGCGTATCGAGATATCGTTCTTACGTAGATGTGCGTTACGTTCTATCTGTTTCGCTCGAAAGGCGAACGACCTGTGATAAATGCGCGCACGTGTCTAAGTCTCACGTAACTGCAACTTGTCTCTCGAACTCTTCTTACGATGTCGATTTGTATTACTTTTGTTTCGTGTGTGTCTGGACACGCGCGAAATCCAGACATTGCACAAACTCGTGCTGCTGCGATTCTACTCGGACATTCCATTACGATGTAACAGTACATTCTATCTACAATGTCTTCCTTTTACCGGCTTGAGTCGGTAGAAAGCGCGGGCATATGGCGCGTGTACGGTACACTGGATGATAAAACGAGCAAACATTTTCGAATTTAGATCATTACGAGGATGGGACGAGATTTTATCACGGGAGATTTTATTCTATTCTAATTATACGCGCGCGTATAAAATAGTCAATCCCGAGGTTACCTCGTTGTAATGTTATTTTTCCCCTCATATTTTCCTTAATGAGATAGGAGGAAGGGGTGTTTTATAGACCGGGGTACGTGTAACTCGAAGAGCTGCGGCAAATATTGATTATTTCTCTACATGGCACCCTCTAGTCTAGACGGGATCTATACTCGAACACACCGAACCAGCACGTGATATTTCTCCGATGTGGTCGACAATTAAGAAAGTACGAGGTGCGATCGAAAAGCAAGCCGAGCTGGATTTATGAGTCGTATTAATTAACCTTAACCGGATAGGTCTATATGTTCCTCTTTGCTTCAAATGCTTCTTAAAAATCGTATCCAAGTATCCATTATGATTCAGCCTGATCTTCTTCTTTAATTTAATTTTGGGGAATAGGAAACAATGATTTAGGAGAAATAGAGAATTGTTGTTTGTTTGACTGATAAAAGATCCTTCTGATTAAGTGTCTAGAGAAGAAAAAATTTCAGATCCATTGTCGAATCGCAGGACCGTATATTCTACTGAACTACTCCTAGTATCTATCAAGTTATTTATAGCTTGATGACGCTTAACAGATTGATACATAGTGATTTACAACTATCATTGTCTAATACCAACGCTGACAGTATTTGAAAAAATCCGAATTTGACATATTTAGAGGATTAATTCTCGCGTGGTCGGTAGGAACGTAAAGAGTCTACTGTATAATGTGGTTTAACACGCGCAAATCTTTTTAGCATAGGGCTGAAATATGCCGGAAGAACAGAAGTCCGCTGGTGGTCAACCAGAAGTAACGGCAGAAAATGGTACCGGTACGAACTCGCCGACGAAAAGTCCAGTGAGCAAAGGCAAAACAGCACTTGCGAGAATCACTTTGCTAGATGGATCCGTGAAAGACTTCCACATAGACGTGAGCTGTCAAATGTTTCTTCCATCCTCTTATCCGAGAAGGATGAAGTTCGACGTTGACGAGAACCGGATGAAAAATTGATTCTGTTTCAGAGAAAGGCAAAAGGCCAGGAATTACTTGACATGATATGTCAGAGTATGAATCTGATGGAGAAAGATTATTTCGGGCTTATTTACGAGGACAGACACGATACACGAAACTGGTTAGATCTGGATAAAAGAATCGCAAAATTTGTGAAAAGTACGTAGATTTCTCCTTTCTTTTTTTTTTTTTTTTTTTTTTTTTCTCGCTTGTAGCATTGATGTTGGAACCAATTTGGTTGGTTTTCTTTATCTCCGCAGACGAACCGTGGAAATTTAATTTCGAAGTGAAGTTTTATCCACCGGATCCGGCCCAATTGCAAGAGGACATAACACGATATCAGCTATGCCTTCAAATCAGAAACGATATTATCACAGGACGATTACCGTGTTCGTTCGTGACTCATGCTCTTCTAGGTTCATATTTAGTTCAGTCTGAAGTTGGAGATTACGACCCAGACGAGCACGGTCGCACATATTTAAAGGACTTCAAGTTTGCTCCTAATCAAACTCCAGAGTTAGTGGAGAAAGTAATGGACCTGCATAAAACACACAAGTTAGTTTCGTTTATTAGTTAGTCATTTATCCGAATGACGTTGGAATTAATTAATGAAGAATGGTAAAAAAAAATCTTGCTAATTTTTAGAGGACAAACACCCGCCGAAGCGGAACTCCACTATCTCGAGAATGCAAAAAAATTAGCAATGTATGGAGTTGATCTCCATCCTGCGAAAGACTCTGAAGGCGTCGATATAATGTTAGGTGTATGTTCATCAGGTCTTCTCGTCTATAGGGATCGGTTAAGAATCAATAGGTTTGCTTGGCCAAAGATACTAAAAATCTCATATAAAAGGCATAATTTCTACATAAAGATCAGGCCAGGTGAATTCGAGCAATTTGAGTCGACGATTGGTTTCAAATTAGCTAATCATAGAGCTGCGAAAAAATTATGGAAAGTGTGTGTAGAACACCATACTTTCTTCAGGTAAATATTTAACAATGATTTTAATTATAGATTGATATAAAATAATATACATATTTTTTTAGACTCATGAGTCCTGAGCCCGTAAAGAAAGTCGGTTTGCTACCACATTTAGGGTCCAGATTTCGTTACTCTGGACGAACTCACTACGAAACGAAGAAGACACCCATCGATAGACAACCTCCAAAATTCGAAAGATCTTTAAGTGGCCGTCGTCCCACATCTCGTAGTATGGATGGTAAAAAGATTTTTGATATTTATTAACTTTAGACACAATGTGCAGCCAGTGCCGTTTTGATACTTTCGTCGCAAAGTTATCACTTTAAGATTTTGAAAGGTATGTGTGCATTATACAGCGCTAGGGGGTCCTAAACAAGTTGAATCTTATGGTTCAGAACCAAGTAAGAGGCATACAATGAGCTATGAACCTGAAATGATTCCTGACATGGAGCATATAGATCAACGGCCTAGTCCAATAAAAAAACAGAAAGAAAAGGTAAAAAGGAATACACTTAAATATAATCGAACATAGTAATAGTAGAGGATGCATGGAAACGTCATGCAATTTGAAAATTATTCTATCAGAAATTATTTTGAAGTGATTATTTCTGCGGTCTACGCTTTCAAACAAAGCTTCTTTCTAAAAATTTTGACAGTATAATAATAAATTTAACTAATTAATTACCTTCATTGTTATATATAACAATAATCTAAATATCATCGTAATCATAATTACATTATAAAACGGAGAAATTGTAGAACACCAATTGGTTCACGTAAAAGCAAGCAGATAGCATATTTTATAAAAAGATCGAATTAATCATGCACTGTTATTTTTAAATCAAACAGACAATATTTGTAGCCATGGCATGTTGATAAGTTTTTGTATGCCATGTATTAGATATAGTTGAATGCATTAGACATTTTAATATGTTTATTTCAAAATTATCAAAATAATTTGAACAATGCACATGCAAGTTAATTAATTTTAATGAAAAACTGCACACGAGAAATTAAACACTCAGTGGAAAAGTCAAAATTAATATTGTTTTCTATCGTTTCTATAATATTTGGTTAATTAACTTGTACATATACATATATTCATATGGACTTCTGCAAGAAATTTAGAAATGTATAGATTTTATATCTTAAGGTTTTATATCTTACAATTATTATTGAAAATTGAACACATGGCATTTGTATGTAATAATTTAATTTCGCAAATTTGAATTCAATATTCACATCCTAGTGCTTCAACCATAATAACTAACTGACACCTAACTAACACCGGTAGCTCACACGCAAAACAAGTGCTGGAACAACATCAGCTAGCAGTACCAGTAGCCTGGAAGGAGAATATGATGCAGATCGTGGCAAAAAGGTATAGAATTTCACCTGGAACATATTGTCATGCATTAACCAACATACCTATCTATATTAATATGTGACCATTTGGTGTTTTCCTTTTTTTTCGGTGCATGCCGCTTTTTTTTTATTTATTTTTTTGCAAACATTATACGGCCATCGCCTCAAAGTTGAATTCCTCAAATTTTTTCAAATTTTTTTCATCGTGACATCACGTGGGCATACGCAGATGCAAATATTTTAACAAGCTATTTAACTGCGCTAATGCTTATGTTCGCATGCACATAACAATCATCGCACATAATGATATATATATATTAAAAAAACATTCAAAGAAATGTACTATAAATATATAAGTAAATTCTTCAGGAAAGTATGTTTATCTAACATATTAACGAATGATATTTTTTTGAGAGCGCAGACCGTAATTAGTTATCCAGCATGAAATATATGCTAAGAGAATGTGAAACATGTAGTTTATAATAGCTTAACGATAGAGCTGAATCGTGCTTATTGCATGAAGCGATGTGTGATTATAAATTTACTTATAGAAACCGGTCGGAGGAATCGCGGTCCTACCGCCCGGTGGTCTATTTAAGAAGAAAAAGGATAAGCAAAATGAAAGCGAAAAGGAAAATCATAATGATCTCAACAATTCTGATTTAATAAATGAAAGTGCTATTATTGATAACAACGACGTGAAGTCATCTAAAAAAGAATTGAAAAAGAAAGATAAGGAAACGTCAGAAAAAAGTGCTATTTTTGACAAGAATGAAATAAAGTCACCCAGTAAAAAAGAATTGAAAAAGAAAGAAAAAGAAACGCCAGAAAGAAGTGCTTTTATTGATGAATTAAAATCACTTACTAAAAGAGATTTAAAAAAGAAAGATAAAGAAATAGCGGAAAAGAGTGCTGCTCTTGAAAACAACGAAATAAAGCCACTTAGTAAAAAGGAGTTGAAAAAGAGAGAAAAGGAAATGTTAGAGAAGAAAGATAAAGAAACGTCAGAAAAGAAAGACAAAGAAACGTCAGAAAAGAAAGACAAGGAAATATCAGGAAAGAAAGAAAAAGAAATATCAGAAAAGAAAGACAAGGATACATTAGAAAAGAAAGATAAAGAAACATTAGGAAAAAAAGACAAGGAGACACCAGAAAAGAAAGATAAGGAAACATCAGAAAAAAAGGATAAGGAAACGTTAGAAAAGAAAAATAAGGAAATATCAGAAAAGAAAGACAAGGAATCTCCAGAAAAAAAAGATAAGGAATCGTTAGAAAAAAAAGATAAAGAAATACCAGAAAAAAAAGATAAAGAAAAGAAAGACAAAATAAAGGTAAGTATTGTAGAATTACATTTGTCTGAATTTATTGAGGGACAAATTGTTTATATACCTGGATTACTCATCTATTAGGATTCTTCTTTATTGATTCTTCCTACTATATATGATTTTTCTTTGAAATAACCACAGTTTACGTTTAAATAAGTGAATTTTATTATGCATCTGTTTTTCTGCTTTTATATTTTATTTATTATCCAAAAAATTAATTAAGTTCACTTAAAGATTTCATAAATGCGAGCTCCTTTAAATTTTTTAAATATTGCATTTTGATCATATTTCCAATGTAATGAAATCTAATGAAATACGTTTATTATAGTTTTATGTTTTCCTTCTGTTTTCCCTTTCTTTGTATTATTTTCATTATAATTTCATTATCAGTTAGAATCTTTATCTTACTGTTTTCGAGTTCGCTAAAGAACAAGAATGTTTCTGTGAAAATCATAAATAAATTGTAAATTCTAAAATATAGGTTTCTACAGTTGATCTTGCTATTTTTATATTTATTATTTATTGTCACATCTGGTTCATACTTTTGTCACATTGATTTTGTTTCTATCACTACTATTCTTGTATAAAGAAATTCCTGTTTGTAATTGATTACAAAGCATGATTGTGTTTTATTTAATCATTTAATATTTTGCATTTTAGTTGTTATAAATGTTTATATAACTAGAGTAATACTCTGAAATAATTCATATAACTAAACTAATTAACATAGTGCTTGAGTAATATATTGATTCTCATAAAAATAATTGTAAAATGTTTAAATGATTTTGTACTTTTGATAAACTAATATACAACAGTCAACAATCTGACGTCAACTATAATTTAATTTCAATAAATGAAGTTTTGATATGTAATAATGAACAATCCAATTATATGAACTGTTAGTCCCCTAAAAGATTCAGATGAATAAAGTTTTATATGTATATGTAGTTGTTATTTGCACTGTATGATACTTGCATAAGTTATTTAGAATACCAAATTTGCTATATCGTACTGCTGTTCCATTTTTTCCTACAATTTTTTCTTCTTTCACTAGTATGTATTTGAGTGAGTATTAGAGTTATGTATGATACTCATTCTCGATGAAATATCGTTCTATGCAATTCCTTTCCCAATTCACAGATTTACTACTTTTAGTTATAATTATATTACTATTGATTTTTTAATCTGAAATAATTAATCATTTTTGGAATAAATAACCCATACTTTTAAACAGGATAAAATGTAGTAGTAAACTACGCTTGGTTTAAATAATTAAATTTTTCTGTTGTTCAATAACAGTAAGTGTTCTATAGATACGACTTAGTTTCTTATTTTTTGAATTTCTTTTTTCTGTTGATTTTACTTTAAAATGCTTTTTTTCTTTATAAAGTACTTAATTAAGAATCAAATTTATAACTCTTTGACCTATAATAGTTACTAGCTATTTCATATGAAAGTCATAGTGCTTTTTATTCGAAGAAATTTCTATTTCTCTATAATAATAAGATTTCATATAATTTAGTAATCGTAGCGATTCTGAAATACTTTTCGCCTCTCTCAAACGTTATTTTTGATTCAAGAATTTTATTTGTTTGTTTCTCTGGCATAGATTCTTCTGTGTCACTTCTGCCTACTGATTTTTCTAGTTTTACATTATAGTATACTATTATTTTAAAGGATATACGGGATGTAATAAAACCACTTTCTTCAAAAACGAAGAAAATTTTAACTTCAAGCACTACCCCAACAATAGTGAAAACCACCACTAAACAATCAGTAGTGAAGGATCAAGAAGGTGTAACACAAAACATTGAAGAGAAAGTTGAAGATCTTACACCTGGAGGCACAGGCCAAGTAACTGTTTCTACACAAATTAATAAGGTGATACAACTTTTGAAACTATCCAAGATATTAAAATGTATAACGGAGGAAAACATCGTCAAAAAATTTTAAACTGAAATAACTTTCTGATTTATTAATTTTTTTAAATTCTTTTTTTTTTCTTTTTCTTTTTGATACTTTTTATTTAGATCCTTATTATATTTTTAAACAATTTGCAATATCTATATCCTCTAAACAAATTTTTTGGGTCCCAGCTTATTGAATGATATTTGAATGATATTTATTATAATGAATTGTGAGTAGTTTTATAGATTATAGACATTATTATACGATTCTTAGATATTGAGTATTTGAGCATTGCATGTAAGAAATGTATTGATATAAGTAGCATGAATCTAAGGATTGTATTAATATAAGTAGCAAATGTAATTTTTGAACAAAGAAATTTTTGAATCCAAGGTATAAAACATAACTTATTAATATTTTATTTATTACAATTGTGTATGCACATATATATGGCTGCTTTATTATGAGATATTAGTTACCTTGTAGTTGTATTTAGGCAGAGACATCTGATGATGGTAGAGCTCCATACATGACAGCAACTGCTGTCACTACACGCACTGCTACAATGCATGAAGATCTTGAAAAAAATCAGAAAACCAGTCAGGTTTGTAAATATTCACGTCCTTAAAGAATTTCAAATCAGTCGCTTTTTTTGATTGGAATTCTATTTTATATGTAATATGCAAATATTTTGAACTTTTTTATATAATTCTATAATATAGTTTTCTATAAAGCTAGAACTATTTTTTTATATTTTTTTTTTATATTAGGTAGAAGAAAAAACTGTAGCACATACAACAGCAACCAGTGCAACAAGACAAGAACAGAGAGTAGTAACTCAAGAAGTTCGAACAACAAGTCATGTACTTTCTGGCGAGCAGGTAATGATTTATTAACAGCTTATTAAATTGCTAAATATATCAAGCTCACCACTAATGGATGAAGCATGTAAACATTTTTATGTAAATGATCACATACCATGTTTTGGTTGATCCTAACATTAAGTTTTAGAATATGTTTCATGCTAGTAATATGGTCATTGCACATACATTTCAAAATTTTTTTTAATATTTATGGAAATTCGGGTAATCATAAAGCTTTTGGTTTTAATTTCAAATGTATAATATTAATTTTGTATTATATAATGGATAAATAAGAATCATGTGCACATTCAATATACATATCACGGTATCATATATCTAAACAAAGAAATCATAAATTAGTATATCAATAATACTTAACTCATACAGGATGTTGGTTGATTAATCAAGTTTAACAAGAGCCATTTTTTATTTAATTATTTTTTTATTTTTGTAATTAATTTTGCCGGCTTGGTTAACACATTGCATGGTGTAGCTGTTCTCACGAAGGCTCAGTACATCCAGTTCAAGCAGTGATGATTCAGGTACTCCAATTGACCTTGAAGATGATCAACAGGCATTCTACAATCAGTATTATCAGGTAAATTTTTAGGATTGATATAATCATTAAAAAGTTATATTCTTTTAGAAACAAGATTTTGACAATTTAGAGAATTTAGTTCTGAGGATGAATCTTCACAAAGGTACATGTTTAAATATGTTTATGTTTATACATGTTGTACAGGAAATATTCTTATAATAAATAGAAACTCTTAGACTAATTAGTAAACTATTAACGCTACATTTTTTATGTAAGCTGTATATTTAAATTACCCAAGATACATCTGTACTTTGTTGATATTCATGGGAATATAAAAATGACATTCATAAAATCATAGTAGAAAAATTAATTTACTTGTTATTTCAAAGACACTGGTTTTAAGGTATTAATCATTAATCGGTAAAAATAACATAATGCCTATATTTCAATAATGCTTTGGTATTATTTGTACTTGTAACATATTAATATAACTGTACAGTACCAGTTCAGTATATTATTTTGAACTCTTCTTTTTTAGAAGAGAAATATCATTTTATAAATTTTATTCAGGGTGATCCAGCTGGTGTTGAAACTGAGACACATGTTTACAAAGGAGAACCAGAAAATAATGTAACAACAACTACTACAGTTCCACTAACAGCAACTGAAACTAGGAAGGTAGCTGTTGAAAGTGAAGATGGTATGTACAGTGCAACTGGGGAAATAGTTAGTTCTCAAACAATATCCAGTAAAACTCGCACTGTTGAAACGATAACGGTAAGATTCAGATGTTTACTGTAATTTTTAATTTTTAATACAATGTGTTGATATATATATGTATTATGGTATTTTTAGTATAAAACTGAAAGAGATGGAGTTGTAGAAACTCGCGTAGAACAAAAAATCACAATACAATCAGATGGTGATCCGATTGATCATGATCGAGCTTTAGCAGAAGCAATTCAAGAAGCAGCAGCAATGAATCCTGATATGACAGTAGAAAAGATAGAAATTCAACAGCAAACAGCGCAGTAATTTGTAATTAATTAAAAATTACCCTTATAAGAGATAAAGGGCACTCTTTGTCTAAAAAATATAATGCTCGTAATTCTAAAAGAAGGGATAAAATAAAAAATTTAATTGATACACAGGATGTTTCCGAGTCGGTGGCATAATCAGAAAGGAAGTGATTTTACATTAAAAAAATGAGCTAAGAAGAAAGAACAAAATTTTTTTATTTAAGGATTTATTTTCGAGAAAATTAAATTTGAAAATCTATTAAATATATTTTTTAATTAATTCTAAATTGATCAGAATAGGATATTATTCTACATGTGAAAATAAGTTAAAAATGTAGAATACAATTTTTTCGTATTACCCTTCATTTTGGAGAAAATTCAATTTTAAATACACATTTACTAAACCAGTTCTCAACTTAACATCAAAATTTATTTTCTTGAAAACAAGGTGATTTTATTCTGCATTTTTCATTTATTTCCATAGATTCACTAATTATTCAATCTATCTTGTTTAGAATTAGACAAATTCAAGTGTACTTGATAAATTTTCAAATCTAATTTTCTTGAGAACGAAGACCGAAATGAAAAAGTTTTATTCTTTTCCGGTTGTATTACAGGATTGGAAACATCCTATATATCTTAATAATGGATAGTAAATGATTTGACTCAGTTTTGCATTTTTCTATGTAAAGGGCTAATCAAAAGCATTTGTTATGTAATATTTGAAGACATTTCTTATAACAAATGTTGCCCAATGCTACGAGCTTGAACTTGATTAAAAATCAAGTTATTATAAAAAAATGTCACGGTATTTTATACCATAAACGGCAGTGTTCATATTCGAAGTATGTATTATTTACATACATAGAGGCAGAAATATATATTAGACATATTATGTATACATAGTTATGTATGTATGTATGTAACAAAAGCTAATTTGTTTGTAATTATAAAAATATGACAGAGTGCCCTATTTTACGTCATTGTTTCACAGCGAACAAAATCATGATAATCGCGACACTTCACGTAAGAAGCATATTAAACTTCATAAAAATTCATTTAAACAATATTCAAGACTTGTTCAACAATACTGAAGAAATACTTATAGGTTTAACTTTTTTTCAAATTTTTGGCAGATTTTTTGTTGTAATTTAAATTTCTATTTTTAAGACTTCTCTGAGCCTAATGTAATAAAAAACAATTAAAAACATCTTAAAAAACGTTTTAACAAGTCAAACATATGTAAAACTATACCATTATTATGCGTTTAAATTATATAAACAATATATAATATTATATACATAATACATATATATAATATTATATATGTATATATTATATTATATATATATTATATATATACAAGTCACTTGAAAAAAAATATATAGAAAGTAACAGTGGAAGACTTATAATATCTAAGTGGAAAACACACAAAATTTTTTTATAAGGCTTCGTACAGTTTAAATATAGCTTTTCTGCAATATAATTCTTTTGTATAGATTAATTATTTGTGACATACTTTTTTCAGAGTATTTTCAAAGTACATAATTATTTTGTGACAAAGTCATCTTTAACTATAAAATATTAATATATACATTAAAATATATACATATACATATATATACACATATATGTACATGTACACATAAACATTTATGGTTAATTGGGAAAGAAAATAAAAATCTACAAAGTTTCCTATAACTTATAGTATTATCCAGCAATGTAAATTGAAATAAAGTTGTTAACATTGCTATTATATACATCTTTTATTTAATAATTTAAAAATATGCATTTGGAAACTATGTAGATTTTCAAAATACTTCACAGATAATAAGGTTTATTAGTAATATTAAGATAAAGTTATATGTAATTCATACCAAGAGCTATGATGCATTGGTCAGCGTATATGTCTAAATTTAGCTATAACTTTTGTAGTTTTAAGACTACAAGTTCATATAAGATTTTATTTGTTTAATAGGTTATTTAATTTTTGTATGAACACAGAGATATTGCTAAGAACAAGGAAAGGCTGATAATCTGAATTTAAAATAAAATTATTAAGATGCAAGTTATACTTTGCAAAAATAAAGCTATATAAATATATAAAGTTATAAATATTAATATCGCTGCTTTATATATTTATGTGTGAATAATATATACATATATTGTACAAGCGGCAATTGTGAGGCAACATTAAAATATGCATATCACACTGTAGGAGGCTTGTTTATACCTTTGTTCTTTCAAGTGTTGGCTACTATATACTAAACTACTATATACTACGCTTGCATTTTGCACAAAGCATTTATTTTATGATACTAATATGTTTCATGTGTTAACGATGAAGAAATCTTTTTTACTTTTCTACTTTTTACATAATACGTCACGAAGCGAAAAAAATTTACATATATATTAGTTTTGTAGCTGTTTACATTTGTTACATTTTTTCTTAGAGATTGTGAATTTCGTCAATGTTGCAGTATTGTTGTATTGTATTTTATATATACAAATAAAAAATATTAAAATTTCTGTAGAACAAAGGATAATCATAGACCGTCTACGTGCGAATTGCATTTCGTCTTAAACATATATCACATTTTGTTATACGCTGGCAGCTAATGAATTGTTCGAATTTTATAAAATATATTGACATTAATCTCATTTTATTTTATAGTATTAGTTTATATTTTAGATATGCTCAACCCGTATTAGTTCTTACTTTTTTATTTATGAGCAATTTTAGAAATTTCTTAGATTGATTTTTATGTTTCGATATTATAAAAGGTAGTAAAATTATGTTAAAGAAGAAATTGATTTTCTACTTGTACCTTTTACACCATGTAATTCCATAATTTATATATTTGTTTTTATTGTATCTAACATTCCATGCTTATAGTGACTAACAAATATGTATTATAAATGCCTGTGTCATTTAAAACTTATTTATTCGTTTATTCATATAATTATATTTATCACAGTTTTATATTAGCTCTGCTTGAAGAAATTGTTACATGATGACACAATGCAGAAGATACAAAATTTTTCATTACATTCAATTTGCTTCTTGTGCTTTTCAGTTGACATACAAAGTTAAGCTTTAAAGATAAGATACAAATCTTCAAGCAGTGTACAAATGTAGTTAATAGTATTTTGTACTTTAATACTTCTGTGGTTCATTTAGTGATAACATGATAATTATAATATTATATATATTAATATTACAGTTCTATAATATAATTACATAATAGTATTTTATGTATAAGATACGTCATAACTGTTTAACTGTGCACGTTTTGTTACTATTAAATTGTATAATTGTTTGACACGCATGAATTTCATAATGTACTTTATTTTAGTTATGAAAATATTATTTTAATGCACATAATGTCGCCTTAGTGCTAGAAAGTTGTACAAAATAATTGTAATTAGTTTATCGCCAGCTTTTTACGATAATTTGCCATACACTCTTTTTTTTCAGCGCAATTTGATTATAGATTTTATTTTTATCTCATACACGACTTTCCAGCATGCAGGCAATAATTAACGGTTCATATAGAAATTATTTAATATATAATTATTACAAAAATTAAACGCAAATGAGAAATATATAATGAATTATAAATAATTTTCTAAAAAAAAAAAATATTAATAAATAAGAAGAATACCTCTCATCCAAAAAATTTGTTTTCTTATACGTATTATGCTAGTGATATATTAGGTGCTTCAAATAAATGGCAATTTAACAGTTTCATTGTTTAACATAGACCGTACATTTCGAAAGTTATTGGTTTTTACTACATTACTCCAGAATGGTTTCGGAGTTATATGACCATTCTTTACAGTATTTATACCTGATATGTTATAAAAATCGTTTAATTATTAATAATATTTTTAAGTATACTAAAAATCATTTAAATAACTTTTGTACCTATTTTCCATGATGGAAATATGTACGATTGCGTTTCATTAATCGCAGATGTAGTAGATAATTTTGGATCAGGATTTTGAAATATTGCTCTGGATATTGATTCTTTTAATGAAGGCGGTAGATTTAATGAACCTGTAATATACAGAATTTCATTAAAGGCTTATGTTACATTATAAAAAAATAATCAATAATCGTACTTGTAATATCTTCATCTAATGTAGTACTCAATGATTTTTTGGTATGATGGAAATGTTTCTTCATCTTAAATCTTTTCATGAAACATCTGCATATATCTGTTACTGTTTTTCCATCAAGAGTTTCTGCAAGTTCATATCAGTTAGAATAAAATGTAAATACTAAGGAGGAGAAATTCAAATAAACAAACATACTTAATGTATCATTATTTGCAATAAGATTTTCTCTATACCTATGATACTGAGTTACAGGATTGCCTTGTAACGACAACTCTGTTAAAGAAGTTAAAGCACTTATACTTTCTGTTAAATCGTTAATATCGTCAATAAAATTATTTGCAACATCTAAAACTTCTAATTTATGCAATTTTTCAATGCTTTTTAGAGACGTCATTTTATTACCAGAAATATTGAGTATTTTCAAACAAGTCTGAAAAGAACATTGTGTAAAAAAAAATGTACATAAAATATAATGATAATTTAAGTCTAATAAAATAAATATACTTACAGATAAAGTAAATATACTCCGCGGATCAAAGCATAGTGATTCTCCAATAGGTAATTTTTGATTTTCTATTTGTAAAATGGTTAAATTTCTTAAACATTCAAGACCTTCCACCACTAATATTTTGTTATACCCTAAATAAAGTGTTTGTAATTTTTCAAGAAAATTTAAATTTTCTATTTTACTTATTTCGTTATGCTGCAAGTATAAATGCGTCAAATTTGATGCAAAGTACAAATTTTCTATTATCGCAATATTGTTATTTTGCAAGTATATTACTTTAAGATTTTTATAATTGACAAAATTACCCTGAAATAATACGATTATGTGCGTAAATTGTACCTAATACTTATTATTTCAATAAAAATAACTTACGATGCTGCTGATAAACATATTGTTCATACGTAAATGAGTTAAGTTATATAATTCGTCTTTTCTTAATTTCTTACTAAGAGATTTATTTAACTGTATTTGTGAACATTTCCTTTCAATGTATTCGGTAGTTAATCTCACCATGATTGTAAAATTTTATCAAATAATATATGTAAAAGTTTGAGCCGTGTATTAATTGATCAAACATTTATTGGAATGACGCGCCTTTTATACGTGACATCTATGTGTTTGTTCATGAACTCGCTACACATTACACTAGCGACAGCTATTTCCACTCAATCTAATGTAGCGACATGTACATCCGCTCAACTGTCTCGTCAAAACATATGTTTCCGGTAAATTAACAGCGCCAACTTTATGAAACACAAAGACAAGAGACAGCGGGAAAAAAGCCAGTTTTTTAACAATCGTCAAGGAGATATATAACAGTCGCCAAGAAGATATATAACAATCGCCAAAGAGATAAGAGAGTCGCCGAGGAATCAGTTAGAGAGTGCGAGAAGAGAATAGTTGAGATGATCCACCGTGTTCTACGTTGTTTAACAAATTATACTCGTTGCGTACATCCTGTAACATATGCACTCAAAAATTTCCTTTTGTAATACGGTGATTTTATCATTTACCAGTTATCATATCTACAGACATGTAGCGACCGACACATCTTCAAAATTTACAGTAACGCCATCTACACAATCGTTCTGTCGAAAAGTACGATTCCTGTAAATCGACATTACAAATTGTAAATTGATATTTTATTTATTACTATGGAAATGTTATTGCCATGATTACTTGTTGATAGAGATACATATATAGACTTCATTTTAGAATTAGTTATTCATTCCTTAATTAACATTTGTTGAAAACAGTTATCTATTTTTGCTATAAACTTCATTGTTATATAATTTATAATAATCTATTAAAAGTTATTAAAGTTACAAAGTTCTTATTTATTTGTAGTATTATAATATTATCATTATAATCACTACAAAATTGGTGACCCCGACGTGATGAAGATTCCTAATTTCTGCTTAAGGCTGAAATGTGACTGCAATGATGCGCGCTCGACTGATTGGTCATCAGGAGGTCCATCGTTGTCATGTCCAGCAGCTTGTGTACATCCTCAGAAGCCATCAGCAGGTCATGGTTGTCCAATTATCAATTTTAGACATCCGTCTTCATTGTTACAACTTTGTTGTTGAATCTTCGTTATTTCGTTATTTAATTCTCATTCGTAGAAATTATTCGTTATTTAACTTCCATTATGTAATCTTCATTAAATTATTAGTAATTGTATATTTTGTGATATTGATAATATTTTTATATAAACAACTAAACTTAATTACGGAGTTATTATTTATTTATAGTATTGTGATATAAATATAAATTATCATAATCACTATAACTCTGTAGCGACCGTTACACCTTCACAATTAACATCAACGCCATCTATACAATCGTTCTGTCAAAAGTACGATTCCTGTAAATCGACATCGCAACTTGTAAATTGATATTTTATTTTTATTATCACTATGGAGATGTTATTACAATGTTTACTTGTTGATAGAGATGTATATATAGGTTTTATTTTACAATTAGTTATTCATTCCTTAATTAACATTAAAAGAAAACAGTTATCTATTTTTGCTATAAACTTTATTGTTATATAATTTATTATAATTTATTAAAAGTTACTAAAGTCACGAAGTTTTTATTTATGTGTTGTATTATAATATTATCATTATAATCACTACAACCCTGTAAAACAGAGATATTTTCATTTGCGAAAAAACTTAATTTAGCGAAATGAATTGTGAACTTTGGCGATTATATTACCCTAATTAGACCCTTAGATTTCTTTTCATACTCCATTTGACCCGTAAAATGCAGAAATAAGTATTTTCATAAATAATTAGTACCACTGAGTTGCCGCTAGATGGCGCCACCATGTCCATTTTGTGACAGTTCGCACTAATTATGAAAAAAACCTAATTGAAAGGAATAATTTACGAACTTTTTTATATGCCTCCTTAAAATTAGGCTTCCCGCTTTCTTTCTATGTGTGTCTTGTCCTAGAAAATCGTACGTGTAAAAAGTAGAATTTGTTTTTCAATAGATCGAAGGATGTCCTTGTCGCACACTGTTGCTTTCCTTGTCTAGTGTCATTAGACGAGGAGAGCACTAGCGTGCAACAAGGACAGACATATTCGCGCGGTAGACAAGGAGAGCAACAGTGTGCCACAAAATAGACATACTCGTGCTGTAGATAAGGAGGGCAATAGCGTGCGACAAGGACAGCAATATAAATTAGTTTTACCGTTTCACCGCTACACGGAGCTAGCACTTCGTCTGTAGATACGATAACTGGTAAATGATAAAGTCACCGTACTACAAAAGGAAATTTTTGAGTGTATGTGTTACAGGATGTACGCAACGAGTATAATTTGTTAAACGACGTAGAGCACGATGGATTATCTCAACTACTCTCTTCTCGCAATCTCTAACTGATTCCTCGGCTACTCTTATTTCTTTGGCGATTATTATATATCTTCTTGTCGATTGTTATATATCTCCTTGACGACTGTTATGACTCCTTGTCGAACTGTCAAAAAACTGGCTATTTTTCCGCGCTTTCTTGTCTTCGTGTTTCATAAAGTTGGCGCTGTTAATTTCCCGGAAACGTATTTTTTGATGAGCGGAAGTACCTGACGCTATCTGGTTTATTGGAAATAGCTACGTTACTTTAGCGATGTGCGACATTTAAGGTTATTTTAGCTAAGTTTTACAAAGTGGATGAAGATTGTTACGACTACAGTTACAATTTGATTTGCCCGGTCTTCAATGTTGTTAAATTGAAAATAATGCGATGATGGATGTGGATTTATTAAGACCTGGCACTGTACCAATATCTCCTGACACAATTCTTTGGTTTGAGTTTTTATTAAATCCATCCTTGTTACAACAACATTTATCTAAACCCTCTCCTGGTAAATAATTTAACCTCCATTATTTGACACAAATAGAATAAAATGATTAATAAAATTATTATGTTGATTACACTATCATGAAATTTTAGATCCCTCAGCTACGGACTTAATAATCAAGTTTATGACAATAAATTCAGATCAAAAGGAGAATGAAGTGAAAATTGTTGATTCAGAATCTAACGACACAAAACCTAACACCACAATTAAATGGACTCATAGAAATCTTGCTTTGAAAATTCTTTCTTTGAAAGTAGCAGCTCATTTAAGATGGGATTTGGATATATTAGAAAAGAAATTACCATTACCAATACAGTTAACGTTGCTCCAAGATCTTCTTTATATAACATCAGATTTAACTGTTGAAATACCAGCTATACCTGAATTTACAATGCATCCAATGTCTGATCAATTGCTATTTACAATTGTTTTATATCATAGATGGCATATAAGGGCAATTCTTTATAGAGCCTTAAATAACAAACAATCAAAACAACAATTTCTTCATATGTAAATATCTGTTGCATAATTACTAATTTTAATATCTTTTGCATAATTTTATTTTTAATTCACTGTATATGACAGTCCAGGTATACAGGAGTCAACATATGTACCTCCTGGAGTAGTAGATGATATAATTAGAAAGTTAGAAACTCAAGTATCTAATAGTATAAATGTTTTGAATAATGTTCTTGAAAGTAAAGATATAAATCCAAAAATGTTATCTTTTGATACTTTTCAAATGTTATCTGAAGATAGTACAGAGATAAAACAAAATTGGGAAAATATGTATTCTATAAATTTAGAAGAATTTAAATGCCAGGTGTAATATTTTTTATATATTTTATTATTGTTATATAATATTTTTTGCATTTTGCTAATTATTTTAACATTTTTAGATACATTATGATTTAGCAAGACTTCATTTGTTAAAAGAAGAATACAAAGAAGCAAAGCGTCATATTATACAAGCCAAAGAACTATTTTATAATTTAAGTAATTTGGAAGAGAAATTATATTGCAAAGTTCAAAAAGAATATCTAGATGGTTGTTGCTTAGCATGTGAAGTACCTGTAGAAGGAGTTACTTCCAGTCTTACTCAGCAATTGCAAGCATCAATTAAAGATCAATATACTGTATGTATCTGAATGTAATTTAAGAAATTAAGTTTTATACAATATACTAATAATGATTATTTAGAATATATTGCAGATTCTACAAGCAGACAATATTTCAAGAGAAATTCCTCAAGTTTATAGGGATAATTTAGAACTTGATGTGCAAGGAGGATCTGTTAATAGAAAAATTGTTGTAGCTCGTGATCTTTTGCTTCAAATTCAGTGTTTAAATTTAATTAGGAAAATTTTGGATGGTAATATAATTCTTGGTGATTATGTAACAGAAATACAAGCAGCTGGTAGCAAAGGAATTGATGTATTTTTTTCGGTAGGATAATTTTTCTATTGTTTTAAATTATTTGTTCTTTTATAGCCTATATTAAATATAAAAACTTTTTTAGGCTCTTGAAAACGTTTTAGAACAAGCTAGTGCTACAGACAAAAATCGTATTTCTCACTATCTTCTTTATCTTGTTCATACAAGTAATATTGATAGGTTTGCTTCTAAAATACTCAGTAATCCATCATATATGGCATTATTTAATGAAAATGAACTGGATGTAATTAGAAAATCTGCCTCTGTTGAAGAACTTGAAATACCAGATTTATTATTGAAAAATGATTGGGGTATTCCATTAACAACATATACTCGTCAGTATATACATAAACATTAATTATAGCATAAAATATTAATCACTTTATTAAGCCTAGTATTATATTAAAAAATTATTTACATTACAGAAAACTCAAGACTAGAGATATTTGGATTAGAACAAAAATTAATACAGTCATACGATACTAATGAAATTCACGAAACATTAATACACCTAGATGGCAAACACCGAATGAAACCACTATGGCATGTAAATAGTTGTTGGGAATTACCTATTCCATTACAAAGTGTTGTAATATCTCTACCTAGAGGTTTTCTTCAAGATTATTCGTATGTATTATTAGCAAAAAGTAGAGAATTGGTAATGTCTAAGGATTTTGAAGGAGCAATTGAAATTTTAAATGTATTGGAAAAAGAAGTGCAGCAGCATTCACAAAGTGGCAACACATTAATATTTAAATTGTCTAAATTAGTAAATTGGGAATGCCTTCTTGTAGAAATTTGGAGGTGTTTTCACATTTGGCCAGCAACAAGTATATGTGAGTATAATTATAAATATAATAAACATATGATTTTATAATTAATAAAAATAATAATTAAAAAAACAAAGTATATAAATAAGTATAATAATTTAAAAAATTTATAGGTGATACACAAAATTTAGTCACAAGATGTAAGCAATGTCTTGGAGCATTGCAAGCAACAGATCAAGTTATACCACGACAAGAAATAATTGAATATTGCATTGTTTTTCTTTTAAATATGACTGAATGGGAATATTTAACAAGTTTAGAAAAACGTTGGAGTTATTCAGAGTTTGCAGCAGCTATTAGTAGCGTGTGTCAAGATATTGTTAAATACAAAGGTGGAAGGAAATTTCCAAGAGAAGCATGGGATATGGGTTAGTTTTTATGTTATATAAAAATGCATTAGAAAATAACATTAAGTCATATTTTTAGTATTGGCAGCTTTTGGACCAAGTAGAGATCAACCACAAAAACGAAGTAACAGTGGCAATAGTGGAACAAGTACTGGTAGTGCTTCGCGAGATGTTATTGCTAGTATTGGAGGTACACTTAATAGATTGCGTGAACCTATGGTTCTCACTGTTGTTATTTCATTATTAGCACGTTTGCGAAATGTTTTACGTGATGAATCTAGTCTTGAATTACACACACAATATCTTTCCCTTTGGCCTGCTGGTGTACCAAAGTAAGTTTTCACATAGCACAAAATGTATAGTGTTTTTTACAATAGTATAATAATTTATAAATCTGTATAGTGCTAATTCTTATAATATCCGAAGTATTGGAGAACTATTGTTTCAATTATTAACACAAGCTTTGAAATACTATCCAAGTAATGTTCCTTGGTTGAGATTGATGGGAGATCTTAATTTTGGTATGTATAAAAGACAAAATTATATTTCAAAATTCAAAAAGTTAATATAATATAATATAATAGTTTTAGGATACTATGAGAGTGCAATAAAATACTATTTAGAAGCTATAATGGTAGCTAGTGATTTCTTCAGTCAACCAATACCGAGGTCACAGATCGATGATCTCGTTTATAGACGCATGATTAAATGTTGTGCTCATTTACAATGTTATACCCAAGCTGCTGTACTATGTCAATTTTTAGAGGAAGTAGATTATACCTTAGCTTTTAAAATGGCAGCTAGTGATCAAAAAAGTTGCGCGCCAGCAGATGCTATGGATGCATATTACTATTGTATTTGGGATACTACAATACTAGAGTATCTTATTCAGTTACATACAAAGCGTGGTGAACATCATAGGAAACAATTAGCGGTTAGTAATTATATATAATTTGTTTAAAACTGTACATATATTTATATTTAATTATGTTTTAAGATCAAGGTAATTGGCTCGTTAGAATTGAATTCTAATAATAACGAAGAAATACAAAGAGAAGCAGCAAATATTCGGAAAGCAAAGTTCTTAAGAGCATTGGCAAAACAGTATGTTTATTAATAAAAATGTATATAATAACAATTTTTTATGACCATATAATAATTTTATACTATTTAAATACAACGATTTTTATATTTATAGTTACAATAGATAATTAAAACAATCAAATCTCCCTCCTTTGCCGCGTTCAACTCGTACCAATCACAGCTTTTTGTTTTTTACTCTAATCGATCTAATGAAGCACGGAATTAATAAAATAATTTTATTATACATGTTATTTTGTTAAATCTATGCTATGAAAAAATATTTTTTAAAATATAAGTGACCATTTATTTATTATAATGAAGAATTTTTAACATTTTATAATGTATCGTCTTTTTCATGTGAGTCATCTACGATCAGCCCTTATCGTTGAATACATTGTCGTTGTGTAGTTTGATGAGTGTATGTTATTGCTGTACGTAAACGTATATATAAATTATGTTTATACGTTGAAAACAAAATGTGTAAAAAAGTTAATTTTCTATAAGAAATTATAGTAAATAGAGAAATTTGGTAAAATATATGTAATGTGCGTTAATGTTGTTAAATCACAGTTCTTATAGAACTGCCTTCGTAAACAAGGCGCCATGATGCTCTTGCAACGCCATAATACTGTTATACGACGTTTCGTTCTTTCTATGATAAATATTTATAATTAAAACTGCATGTGAGATACGAACGAGATAAGTTATGTTTTACGTATATTTGTGCATCAGAATTTCCAGCTGTTCGATTTTGGTGAGTACGTGAAGAAGTTCGTTAGTACTTGAGAAACTCTTGATACTATTACTTATTGCAAGTACCCTGATTCTATCACAAAAAGGAGTGAAAAAGATAGAGATTGAAAGACAGAGAAAAGTCGTCGTGAAAGAGAAAAAGAGAAAGAAATATGTACGCTACGAGTAGTTGTACTGTATTACGAGAAAATTTACTGAAATATTTATCGTATTCGTAATTGTTGTCATTAGGAATACGATAAACTGAAGGTGGAAATCGATAAATTCATAAATTCAGATATTTTTATTTAATTGTAATGGCGAGAGGTTGGCGTCAAGAATGTAGTAACAAGAGTGGGAGATTGTAGTAAAAACAATGCTGGATCGCTAAGCGAATTCCACATAAGTATGTATGTAATTTACTATTAGTTATTTTTCATTTTTATAATATATTTTACATTTATAATAATTAATATTTTGCTATTGCGTTTTATATTTTATGTATTCCGTATATCAAATTCTTCAAATATTTAACCTCACATTTGACGTAATATGTATATATTTCTTCATTTAATCAGTGTTGATATTTTCTTAGCATGAGTTAAGTGAAATTTAAAAATATTACAATATCCTTCTGATATAAAAAATATTGATTTTAGAAATAAAACGTGTTGAAAAGAGATATTTCTATAAATATCAGAAAATTTCGAATGCTTGGGAATTGATAAAATTATATTAAATTACAGGTTGTTACAAAACAGGAATTATAAAGATTCATAGAAATAGTTTACATATTACAGTATTTTTAACATGGATGATGAAGAAGGATCATCAAGTTCTGGACCTATGTCTTCATTGAATAGTTTATTTTCATTTACTAGTCCTGCTGTAAAAAAATTGCTTGGTTGGAAACAGGGCGATGAAGAAGAAAAATGGGCAGAAAAAGCAGTTGATTCACTAGTAAAAAAATTGAAGAAACGAAAAGGTGCAATAGAAGAATTGGAACGTGCTTTAAGTTGTCCAGGCACACCTAGTAAATGCGTAACAATTCCAAGGAGTTTAGATGGTAGATTGCAAGTTTCACATCGTAAAGGCTTGCCACACGTAATTTATTGCAGAGTATGGAGATGGCCAGATTTGCAATCACATCATGAATTAAAGCCATTAGAATTGTGTCAGTATCCCTTCTCTGCTAAACAGAAAGAAGTTTGCATCAATCCTTATCATTATAAAAGAGTGGAAAGTCCAGTACTACCACCTGTATTAGTTCCTAGGCATTCAGAATATGCTCCTGGACATTCATTGTTACCATTTCAACAAATAGCAGAACCAACAATGCCACACAATGTATCTTATTCCTCTAGTGGATTTAATGCTGGCTCTACTAGTGGTGTAAATCCAACTTCACCTATGTCTTCTGTTGGATCTGTACCAAGTCCAGGAAGCACAACATCACCAAATCCACAAAGTCCATATGGTACTAATGGACTACCAGAAACTCCTCCTCCAGCATACTCTCCACCTGAAGATGGTTCACAACCTGGACAATCACCACCACCTGATCCAGTAGCAATGGATACAAGTGGATCAGCTGAAGTAGCTCCAGTATGTTACCAAGAACCACCTTACTGGGCCTCTATTGCATATTATGAATTAAATTGCAGAGTGGGTGAAGTTTTTCATTGTCATTCTCACTCTATTATTGTGGATGGCTTTACAAATCCAAGCAACAATTCTGATCGCTTTTGTCTTGGACAGTTATCCAATGTAAATCGTAATTCTACTATTGAAAATACAAGAAGACATATAGGCAAAGGGGTACATTTATATTACGTTGGTGGTGAAGTTTATGCAGAATGTCTCTCTGATTCTGCTATATTTGTGCAATCTAGAAATTGTAATCATCATCATGGATTTCATCCTAGTACCGTTTGTAAAATTCCACCAGGATGTTCATTAAAAATATTCAATAATCAAGAGTTTGCCCAATTACTTTCACAAAGTGTTAATCATGGTTTTGAAGCAGTTTATGAATTAACAAAAATGTGTACTATAAGGTAAAATTAAAAATTTGAAAATTAATATTAAGTAATATAAGCAGCAATAATGTAAATCATAATACATATATATTTTTTTTGTAGAATGTCATTTGTCAAAGGCTGGGGTGCTGAATACCATAGACAAGATGTTACATCTACTCCTTGTTGGATTGAAGCACACTTACACGGACCTTTACAGTGGTTAGATAAAGTGTTAACACAAATGGGTTCACCTCATAATGCTATAAGTTCTGTCTCGTAATTTGTGCTTCATATTTAATAGCAAGGAGAGAAAATAGTAAAATGTAGGAAAACCTGATAATTCAAGGACAATTTTTAATATTACATAGAGCGATAATAAATTAGTTATCATAAGAGATTTATGAAAGTATCATAAAAGTGGTAAATGAAAAACTGCCCAATGTGAGATTTTTTTCATGTGAGTAAATTGAACTTAATGATATGATTATGAAAAATGGTTGCAAAAGTGAAACTATTGAAAGTGATCCTTATTAAAGAAATTTTGGAGATTGCAGTGTACACATAAAAGCTGTACAATTTTTTGGCTGTTATATAGGAAAAGAATTATAGCAAAAATATGTGTTATATATGAAGAATCATATTTTTCAAATATATTCAATTACATCTAATACTTTATTTTATATGAAAAAAATTGTTATGAAAATATTTCATAAAACTAATATTACAAATGCTTCATTGTATGAATTGCATGAATTGTTTCAATACTTATATTGAAATCTATGTATACACGAAGAACGGATTAACTATAATTGAACAAAACATCATTATTAAACAATATACGGGAATGATTCAGAATTATATAAAGTAACATTTTAACTTTTATCATTTTTAATACAATGTGCATCTTTTGAAACATCTGATTTATGCCTAAGCAAGCCTTAGACTATTTAAATTTATTACTCTAAAGACTATAATCCAAGTGTAATTAATTTCAATTTTCGTAATGGTAATTAAGAATACTAATAATATTTTAATATAGACATCAGATGCTGATCTCACGTTGACATTTGGAAGTTAACTGTATCTGATGACATATTGGAATATTAATTTTGGTAATTCATGTAAAAATATTTTTTGTGCTACGTTCCCTAATATTCGCGATATGTAAGTCTTTTGATATAGCCTTATAAGAAATTAATGTGACAACTAACATAAAGTCATCTACTTACTACTTGTTGATTTGAGAGTAATATAAGACTTATGTGTCAACTTGCACTTTTCAGAAGTGTTTACAAATTTCAAGCTTTGACAGAAGTTTATGTATATATAAAAAATATACTATTATATGATGTTACGTGTAATTCAAATAATTGGTATTACATTCGGTACAAATCATGTGAAAATTTTATGAATTGAATTCTGAAAAGTGCCAAAAATGTGTGTATTTGATACCTTTTATTTATCATTTAAATCGTCGAAAATTATTTTTATTGATCACCCGGAAACGCAAGTTTTATCAACAGAAAAAAGATTTACTTAGAAAATATTCAGTTATGAAAGATATTGCTTGTTTTATATATTTTACACAACATGCGAATTTTATAAGAATATTATAATAGTGAGTTTAAGAATTATGTACACAAGAATACATACATTCGATAATGAGCTGGAAAGGTCATATGAATATTTAGTTGAGATTAAGTAAAATTAAATCACTGAACAATGTTATGCATTGAAAGTTTATTGCAACCAACGCTCTATGTCTTTTTACGTATTCATAACAAAACGTTAATTTCATAATATAGATATTTATTATATACATCAATCTTAATTTACATTAAGGTATACATATTATTGAAAAAGCACAAATTTTGATTTAATTAATGTCACGATCGGAAATACCTGTAATATATATTCGATTGATCTTCTGGCTTGCTGATAAATTCATGGATTATACTTCAAATTATTTTTATGTATATTTTATGTATATTCAATTGTAAGAGAATGGACGAAGTATACGGATCATGTAATTTTAACAAAGAGTACTTGAGAACTGGAACAGAAGTCACTGCCGCTTGCTGTTACTTATTTGTCGATGTACCTAGCTGTGATTGTTTGCTACCAAATTTAGCAAATTACGTGTGGGTGATCAACGATGATAAAAGTATTTGCTTTACTTTACTCTGCTTTTATTGGATCAATGAAGATGAAGATATGTATTTGAATTTAAAAGCATAAATCGTACAAGGAAATATGACAATAACGTCTTAAAAAAAAAAAAAAAAAATGCGAATAAAAATATTCAATTAAAGAAACACTTATTGTACCACTTATCGTTTTTTCGTGATCACCTGTAATATCTATTTAGTTGAAAAGAAGAATGATAGGAAGAAGAAAGTATTTTTCATCGAAATAACTCTGTAATTGGTATAGATGATGTCTTAAAGTAATATACACCTGTTGAAAGAGATATGAATTAGTGTTATCGAGGTATATCGAGCTTGTAGCATTCGTAATAAGCACAATGCTTTATCGCAATATGTATGTATGAATGGTTATATATGTAATAACTGTATTTAGAGCTTTTATTCTTTGTTGGTATCGTCTTCAATTTTTTTTTTTTCTGTTAATTGATGCACCATATGTCACAAATTTCATTTCCAAATCACCTAGCATTGCTTTTTAATTTCTAAGTTTTACAGAACTGAATAGAAGCCTAGTAAGTATTATAACAATGTACCATCATGCTAGAATTTATATACTTAAGTATGTGCCGCCCAAGTTGTGCCTTGGAAGCCTTTTACACAGTATATTTTAAATAAATATTGTACAAGTATGAAATGAAAATTTGCTATAGTGTGTAGAAAAGCAAATGTATTATTTGCCAAATAGCGCTTACATATATTATATATCATGTGCAAAATTATATTACTGCCTATAATATGAGAGTCCTAAATATATAAAAATATATTTAAAGATATAATAATTTAGAAAGAATATATATCATATATATGATATACTTTCTAAATTATATATATATACATATATATACATACACACACAAATGTATATAAGCAGACTATTATGATTGGTGATTTGGAAAAGATTCGTGATTACTTAGATAGTCGATCAGTGTAAATAAATTCATTTAGCTGTAAAAAAAACATCTGCAAAATCCATTCCACACTTACCATGTAGACCCGATAATTACGGGATCTCTTTTCAATATTTTCTTTGCGTCTTTAGAGTATTGATATCATTGTATATTATTAGAGGATCATGGTGATAATAAAAAAATGTGGCTGTTTATCATGATCGAAAGTACGATATCGAGTAATTTCTGTTGCAAGATTATAAAGATTACCAACAAAAAATGTCGATCAGATATAGCCAAATATTATGAGAAGTACATTAATTTCTTCATCCAATTGATATCATTCGCACGTATAAAAATGTTCATACTTTCGATGATGTAACAGCAGATGCTGATTTGTTGTGGTAATCAATATTACGATATTGTACAGCTCTGCTATCATTATTAAGATTATCAAATTCTTTAAGAGGGACTTCGTACATGTTAGATTGTTATCAGAAAAACATATTCCTTTTTCTCTGTCTATCTTTCAAAACAAAATCAAACTTTGTTCGACGACGAAAAAATTCTCATTTGTGTTACTGTATCTGCATTTCTGGTAATTACTATGTTGTGCAGTTACCGAGTATAAATAAAAAATATTTCCTATCTGTGTATCTATGTGCAACGAAAAAATAGTTTTATTAATCTTATAATTGCTCAATAATCCGTAATATCCCATATTATTCCCAAAATATTCTTATAATATGCTATATTTTTGTATTCTATGCTATATATTATATAATATATTTCAAATAACAAAGAAAAGGGCGGGATTTTTACACAAGTGTCGTTATAGGTCAGTTCATGGCCGAAAGTCATTGGTCTATTTGCAAAGAGTTTGTAATCGGATTCGCTGTTTTTCGTAGAATAGTTCGAATATATTAACGGATATTGTTGTCCTGTTCTCTAGTTCAGTGCCATCATGTTAACCTTATGCGTATTGTGCTCGAATTTGCCATGAAATCAAGTGTCGTTATTCAATCAAATGATTATTCATCCAATATGTATATTTAATGTGAAAATTTAATGTTTATATCGTATCTTATAAGTTGAATTGTTTAAAAACTTAAGAGATACAAATACAAACAATCAGAATGGATGATTTTGATATGGTAAGTTTCTGAAAAGTAAATGAAGTTTTATATTTGTTTGTCTTTAGTAGTATTTCATTTTTGAAATATATACGTACATATATGCATAAATTTGTAGTATACATTCTACAAACAAGTATGAATGGAGTGATACACAAAGGTAATTAAATGATTAAATCATCATTTGTCTCTTCATCCCTTGGTATCTTCCTAGAATCATCATACATGTTTACATTATGAATATATTTCCGTGTTTTATCAGAAATATACTCAGTGTAGTTTGTGGTATGATGAAGGAAGAAAGAGGGGAGAAGACAATTAAAGGAGTCTGTGACAATCACAGAGTGATTTTCGGCGGTGGCGCTTCAGTTGTCATTTCCATCTCCACCGGCGCGCCACTGCCACCTCGAGTAAGTACTATCTCCGTCACCGGTAATTCCATCCCCTTCTCCATTTCACGGGTAGCGACGCCTTCGCACGGCGCCGATCAATAACGTTGTTCTCGGCGACGCCGACGTCGAGAGCGTCGCTGCGTGAAGGCATCCGCAAGCAATCGACGTGTCACCACGAAAACTTGTACACGGGTACGAAAAGGAGCGTCGCGTGGAAAAAAGAAACGATTGGGAATGCGACCTGTGCATTTACTGCTGTTTTGCAGAACAATACTTATGTCAACGAACGGCACGAACAATACCTGGACCCGGAACCAGAGTTTCTCGGATTCGAGCAATCTTTAGGACCCACCCACGACACGATGGCTAAGGTAAGACCTGGTTAAAATAAAGAATTAACAGTTCATCGTGTTGCTCAAGTATGATGTATCGTGTATTTCTTATAATTGTACGCGTTTTACTTAGTTTCGATGTATTTATACTTAAGATTTTGCGGGAGGAACGTGCTATTGCTACTCTGTCAACAACTGTTGCTGATTTTTAGAAAAGATCGTTTCCCCTAGGATAACCAATTTAATTGGCAATTGTATTTTCGACTGTTAGTGAAAGACTCTGTGGTAATTTGTTTCTGAATTAAAATGTTATTGCTACGGTTTCACATGTATCGACTATGTACATACAGTAGTTACGGTCTATCTCGGCAGGAAAAGTAGTTTGGCGCCGTCATGATCAGCCGGACTGCGGTACATAGTCGACATTGCTACTATAGTATGAGAAAGGGATTGATGACATAGCGATAATAATTAAAATATTTGCATGATTACACTTTCATGATAATACACTTCTTTATTAATATTTCATTTATTCATTGAATTTCTTATTGATACGCGAAGCCTTGATATATTATTCGAAACTAAATTTATAAATGTAGTACTTGAGGTACACGTGGGACCGATGGTTTCTAATTTTATTCAATGAATACTATCTGAATGCTGACTTATCAACAGATTCAAGTATCATGCTATACATACATGTGTATTTATTTATATACAGTGTATAGAAACGGGTGTAATTGTAAAAAATGTAACAACAATTTTACAAGAAGAGTTTTATTGTTATTTAAGTACAAAAGGATAAAAGTCGTGAACACTTATTTATTTGCAGTAGTGCGACGATTTGATATAAATATTTATTTTTGTACGTTCAAGAAATTTTCTTAGCGTAACCTATTTAAAAATGAATAGAGTGGAATTATCTTGATTTCGTAACATTAATTAATGCTCGAGCTCCGATTATCATTATACTTTTTTTTTTCTTTTTTAGTTATCAGTTTTAGAATAATACGGAATTGTTTCGGATACGATACGAAATATATATATATATATGTCTATTACATTTATGCAATATACGGACGTTCATATAAGCCATGTTATGAATTTTCGTGATCGATGAACAGTGCTTACATGTCTCATATGGTCAACACTAAATTAACCTTACTATCCCCTTGAACTTAGTACATTTTAAAAAGTCATTCACATATTAACATTATTTTAATGATACAAAGAAGGTAAAGATTATTTTCATAATGATTGGCCTTAAATTCATAAATTCATCGTTCAGTATTATAATATTGTACTTGTATTTTATATTTCACGACGGTTAGAATAATTTATTATGATGTATAACTATCATCGAATACATCAGATGTACGGATAGAAAAGAAAACACGTGAACTGGTTATAAAAGCAATGTTCGCTGGTTGACCCATTATACGATCAGGTTGCTTTCTTCATAAAATTTTCACCGTGTTTAACGGTCCTTTGGAGACGTGCTCGTTTATACAAAGCGGTATACATGTGTAAATAGACTTTTTCTAATGTGCACCGACTACAAATTAGGCAGTCTTATTGAGACACATCCATGCAGAGTTCACACGAACTAAATCCCGTGAATCTGGGCAATGCATCTGCGAAATTATTAGGCAACTGCATCCAACACTTTTGAGTGGACCTATATATATATATATAATAGTTGGCACGAAAACCCAGTAAATTGCGGTCAACTGTATTATATTTCTGTCCAGAGGAGCAAATGCTCATAGATAATATCAGGGTAGGTGAACCGATAATGATCACCGAATCTTTTTTTAGTACTATTCCAACTATCCTATTGTCGATTTACTATTCTTCTACGTGAAAAGATACAAAAATAATGCAAAAGTATTATAATTCTTAAAGATTTTTTGATATCTTCGAAAGGAAATTTACAAGCGTAAATTATTCTTTTAAACGTAATCGTGAATTATTATATAAATGGCCATTTCTTGGTAGAAACTGAAATAGAAATTTGTTTCACTCTCTAAATATTGTAACGATTACTTTGCTTTATATATTTCTGCACATTTATATATTTGCGTGCATAAATGCATAGACTTCCGCGATGTATTTATTGGACATTTCGTCACGGTATCATTCATTCGTGATGTAACCGAAATGAAAGACAGTGAAAATTGCAAGAATTTTATTGAATGCGACGATCCTTCAGTTAGACGCAAAATTCTCGTGTACACACGACATTGCATGAAAATGTACCGACTTGGTCAGTCGGCATGTCGAGGCTAGGGAGAGGTCTTTCAAGGTCCTCGGGGATTTTTACACGGCGGGAAGTAGGAACGGATGTGTATAAAGGTCAACGAGGACCGGTCGTGTAGTTATAGAACAAATTCGATCCTAAAATCGATAACCATGTGAGACACAAAGGGATCATCAACATGTACAACATTTGTATTGTAGAACACCGTGAAATTCCAGGCTTGTGAAACGCGTCATGTTTCAATTAATTCCGGCCGATTGGAAGTTGATTTTCGTCCGGACGTTTAGTACAACATTGTATCATGTCGGTGTGTTTCCTGTGAAATAACTACCACTCGTTACGCTACCACGTCTAGGTGGTTTTCTATTACAATGCCTCTCTGTAACCTATGATTATGCGTATAACGTGTAGCTTCACTCGCTAGATTTATCTGCTATTGGCGATTCGATTTTATCGCGCGTACAGTGTAGATAATCGCCGATGAAAGTTATCTTTTACGTTTATCCGTCGTTAATCTTACGTATCTTTACTTCCATACGCTAGATTCTACTACGTTAACGAAGAAGAAGAGATAAAAAAGAGAACGTAGATTTATTTTGAACAACTATCTCGTTACAAGCATGAATTCTCATTTTCTTTTTACACCTGCGTTGTACTTATCAACGAACGGAGTAAAGTTCAATACCGAGCGAAATTTCACAAGAGCGTATGTCGTTAATTACGGCCGTACGATAGAAAAACGTGGAGTCAAGCTCGCAAGTTAAACGTAGCCTTGTTCTTCGGTTGATGACGTTCACTGTACAGTCCTCGTGTACGTCGGCACCGTGCGCGCTCGTATACGGATTCACGGGCCGGTGAATGCAGAAACCGTGTGTTTCTGAAGAATAGTGATCGTTGTTGCGGAGTGTCAGTCCGCGTTGTCCGCTCGGTGAAGGTGTATATGAGGAGGGCAGGCGTGTAGTAGGTACATATATCTATCTGTTCAGTTGTACGGCTATGTGCATCGTGGTTGTGTATCGGTGTGCGGATGCTCGCAGTGGTGGCATAGGTAGTACCAGAGGATCATCGAGCGAATCCGGAACGTTTCATTGTCGTACACGCGGCGGACGCATCGCGATCGTGTTGGTCGCTATCGATCCGGTCACCTCTGTTTCGCAGTTGGAGAAGTTTCCCGCGGGAGGAAAATTTCGGTCGTTGGACAGAATTCATCCTGCGACTGGACCCCGTTTTAACGTCCTGCGTACGCACAGCAATACAATTCGCATCGCAAATGCGTCTCATTTGCGATTTACTGGAACGGGGTGAATCCTCCTCGTCCCGTGACTCACAATCGTACGGAAAGTTGGTTTTATTAATAGTCCTCTAGCGAGGACTATTCGGCTGAGGTGTTTTTGCACGACCAGGGAAAGTGGCGTTGAATCAAATTATGAAGCGGTCAAAGAGCTGTGAAGAGGAACGTTGAAGCGATCGTGAGTCCGAGCCTCTCTTTTCACGTGACTCTCTATGTTCTCGCTTTTATCGTTTGTACTTCGTACGGATAGATTAAACGCTATGCAAATCGGTTGGAGATCGTTTTGTTGTGGTGGTTTCGTTCGCGTGTTGAATTCGGTGTTCAGCGAATCGATGGTTACGCAAGCGAGGATGCGCTAAGTAACGGTCATATGCTCATGTATTTCGATCGCGTTCTTTACGACTTTCCATCGTTGCGCGACGACGTTTGTACAAAATTGTGATTCTGACAAAATGAGTGCGTATTTCTCCGTGTTTCATATGTGTTCAGGTGCGATGACCTTCGCCTATAATCTTATCAAACCTGTTACGTGTAAGCACACGCTGAGTACAAACGCGCGGATGTAGACGATCGCACGTCGTTCGGCGCACGTTGGAGTTCTCGCAGGTGCGATAATTAATTCTATTCAAATTATACGACGAGCCCGGAATTATGTGGCTACGGGATCATAACACGCGTCACGTGTGCTTGTCACTTACGTAGTCGTGCACAGTGGATCGAGTAAATTGCAGGCCCCGACGTTGCCAAACGCTGTCCGCAACTTTGCTTGCCGGCTAGTGGAATTATGCAGAACCGCAACACTTTTTTTTATCTTCTCATCCATTTTCTTCTTTTTTTTTTGTTCTTTCATTTGAATTAATGACGACATCCGGCGAGCAACTGCGTCGCAATTTATAACTCTAAACGCGGCGGCCTTTTAGAAAGTCCCTCTGCTTGTAGAAAGCGTCTCAGGCATTTTTCATCTCGATGCTGATTTCGCTGATCGGAAAAAAGATGACATTTATGGGAATCCGATTTCGAATAAGCGAATCGAAACGTTACTTAAATCTGTGTGAACAATCTTTTCTTCCTCTTTCTCTGTTTCTCGTTCTTGTTGTTGCTGTTCTCGTTCTTCCTCTTCTTTTCCATTGTATTGTCGGTGAGATTTCCAGAATTTGCCGTGATTTCGTTAGATGGGTAAAAATCTAAACGAATGTGCTCCTAATTAACACAGTTGCTTCGTCTCGCGTGGCAAGAGATAACGACCGGGTAGGCGGTTCGAATTGGCACGAATTAAGGCCTAATGGAATAAAGTTATGCTCGGGGCCTGGCCTTTGCCCGTCATCAGCGTGTAGTACACGCGTTGATTTCGATTCTCGACACGTTTCCTCCTGTCGGCACAGTCATAAAGTTGCAGGAAATATTTGACATACGTGTTCGATTATCTACTGGTTGCCTTCGCTGACCGTGACATTTTCTTAGATCGATAACAACTGCTTCGCGAATATCGATCGATTTAGAAACTTACGGAGCCGCGAGTATTGACGTTATGCTGTAACCACTAGAAAAAGATGGGCACGTCATGTATCCATATACCCATATGTATGTAGATGGCAATCTTTTGTATACCGTATACGTATGTACGTGTGTGCAGTGCAATAAAGCGCGATTCTTGAGTAATTTATCATTTCCGTGCTAAAACTTAGCACGTCGATAATATTTCCGTTCGATCGATGTTAACGCGAACGTGGAAAAATAAAACGGTGTACGTTTCGATGGAGAGAATTTGCACGCATTCGTTCGTATCGACATTCGTAGCGATTCGTAGTAAATAAACTCGCGAGCGATGTAACCCAGTTCTCAACCGACGACCGTCGTTCAACAGGATCGTCGGTGAACGCACTCTGTTACTCTGGTTGCCGGTTCCTCGCTTTCAGCTAGCCGTCGGTAACACTATTATTAGTATCGGGCTAACGTGTAGCTTTTCGTTGTGGACTGCATAGCTCGATCTCGCGTGTGGTCGGGTTTTATCGGTTTGATCGCGAGCAAATACTCGAATGTCGTCTGGTATTCGAACTTAGAATAGGAGCATACTTCGGCCAGCGTGGTGTTTTGCACGGTGCTGGATAAACGGGTGTTCTGCATATTGCACGAGCGGATTCGCGGTCGAACGATAAAGCTAATCGACCACCGAGCGATGTTTTCGTTGCTCGTTAAACCCGGCTAAAGGGGAACGTGTGACGCGTGTTCTTACGTTACGAAGACGTGGAGAAACGAGGAGGCATTGGGTAAAGGTGGTCGCAAGAGAGGAGTAACGGCAAGAGTAAGCAGGGCTAAAATTAAATTAGTCAACTGCCAGAGAGAGACACTTCTGATTCACCTCGGGACGAAGGGTTTTATTTGGAGATGGGCCAAGGGCAACGGACTCTTCGTCTTTATCTTCGGGTCAAGAATTTCTCTTAACCTTGAAGAATCCGACATTTTTTTTTGTAGGTTCCTCCTCTTACCTCCGATAATTTAATTGATCGTCGTTGTCGTTGTCGTCGTCGTCGTCTTAACCTTTGATTCCCGTCTAAAGACACCAGCGTGAACCTCTACGTCATTGCGAGCAAGTCTCCATCGGATTTAATTCGATTGCTACAATGCGATTAGGTCCGTCTATATTCAGTTAGTTGAAGCTTCAGGTTATGGAACGATTCAATTAATTAGAGGATAAACGAAGGAATTTGTAACTCTCTCGGCGCAATGTATGTCCGCCGACCGGCTAAACGGATGCGTGAAATAGTTTTACCGTAACCCAGTTTACGCACGCGAATTCATCATTTCATCTGTGTGATTGTAGAACGTGGGGGAGAGCCGGATACCAGTTCCACGCGCAACACGGCCGTCTTTCTTCCCGAAATCGAGAGTGCTCGGTACGTCGACACTCGTACCTGGCCACCGACGTTCATTAGTACTCCCGGGATGTTTGCAATTCGTCGATGCCGAGGACGAGTCTGGCACTCCTAAAAAGTGCGGGCCACGAGCTACGTCTACGCCGTCAATCGAAGGTGATAGTAAATATTTAAACACGTTATTATTACGCAGAATTGTTCTCAATGAAACAAATTTGACGTATTCTCTTATTTTCCCAACAGATTCGGGACATAAGACATTCAAGTTATCACCCGTGTGGAATATTGAGAAAGATGACGTGCAACAGTTGGTTCATTTCGCGGAAGAGAAGAGCAACTTTTTCAGGTAGAAGGTTTTTTTTTTTATTTTATTACGTCTTATCCACCAAATATTATCTGTTCGGATGGAATACCTGTTACTACTGCTTTTACGATGGTGTGCTTTAATATGCTTCATAAAGCTATTTTGTAAATGGTTACTATGTGAAACGGCAGGTAATTTTTTCAATACCTAACTGTCGGGACAAACTTCAAATGCAAAACTTAAATGTCCAGAACAGTTAGGTATTGGAAAGATTACCTGCCGTTTCACATAGTAGCCATTTACAAGATGGCTTTTTGTTTCGTCGAACAACAAAGAAAATGTATATAAAATGCTATGTATAAATGGTATATATTACTATATAGTATATACTATTATAATAGAATTTTATTTCTATAGTTTGCTCGAGAATTCTGAGTTGAATATGATTGAAGACATCGGCGAGGGCTGCCTCTTGGAAGCGTCCCTAGGCAATTACAGCGATAATGCAGTAAATGCGACGCCGCATTATTTGATGCTCAACAAACAGAATTCTTTTGAACACGACGAAAGCCTCGGTATATTAACTCCTGACCAGATGACCGACTTCACAGTTGCGCTAGAGTGCTCCAGGACACCATCCTGCGAAAATCTTACGGGATCAGCAGGTTCTAGATTGGCGTTAACGCGAGCGTCTGCGTCGAGACCGTCGGCGGATGCCGAGCCAACTGAAGAGGCTTCCAGCGAGAGAACGCCATCTCCGGAAGAACTGCCGCTTGATCCTAAACCAACGGAGCCTGTTAGGGGCACGGTTCCAATCAGTTTTGTTACGTCGGTGACGAGTATCACAAGTCTTGAAGCTGGTTATCAAGGTGACGGTGAGAATTCTAGGCCAGCAAGCCGTGGGGCCGATCCACCATCCGTCGCTCCACCGCCAAATCTACCCGCCCCTTGTAGACAAGATCCGATGACGGATTCGGATTTCTTCACGGAAAGTGATGCCGACGCGTATGAGGAAATCGTACGCGGTGATAGGAAAGCTCAGGTGATCGATGGTACCCTCTTCTGTGCACCTGGTGGACGAAGATGTCCCAGTTTCACTGGCGGAGAAGAGATGGACTCGAGTGGGATTTACTCGGATCTCGACAAGAGGCAGGATGAGGTTCACGCTCCTGAAGAGGCGGTCGAGGAACACGAGGACCGCACTCCGGATACCATTGACACAGAAGTCTCGCAAAGAAGTCAGCCGACACCAATCAAGACGGAAGTTAGTCACGTTATAATGGATTATTTACAGGCGAGTCGACAATTCTTCTTTTTTTTTTAAATTTGATATTTGTGTCTGTGTACATTTGTTAAAATAGCTCGTGTGTAATTGATAATATTTAGGCTCCCGTAAATCCCCTGGATGGATCGGCTGACTCCAGTGGTTCGATAAACAATAATGAAATTACAGTGATCGAGGTTGAGAGAACCAATGACAATATAAGATCGAAGATACAGAAAGTTGATTCGGTCCCGTTAAAGAAATATAAGATGCCTAAGAGGAATGTTGTCTCGAAGATCAAAGCTATGATCGAGTCTGGACCGAAGGATGAAGCGGAGAAAGAAGCTCGACGTTCACAGAGGTCTGCTAGAAAGGGTGGACGCTGGGATGCCGTTATGAGTAAAATTGAAGCAGGGAAAAACGAACAGAGAAGTAGGCCACCCAGGAAGGAAGTAAAGTCAAGGGTACTTCAGAGTCTTGGTCAGTCATCTTCTACAGGATCAAGTCAGAAGAAAGCTGGTGACGCAAATAATAACAATAACAAGGATAAAAGGTAAGATATTAATCGCCGACATCTTTATTTCTAAATATTTTTACTATATACAGTTTTGCTAAGAAGTTACAAATTACCAGGAGAATACGTGGTCGACAAGAAATAAAATCGCCAATCGAAGAAACTGCCAGAAGCTCCGTTCGTAGCTCCTTGAGTGATCTCAGCACTGGACCTAGTAAGGATGCGTCAAGTAAGTCAAATTGATATTTTTAAATTGCAAATTAAATTAAAATACACTATATTTATCACTGCGCACGTGTATGTGTGTGTGTGTGTGTGTGTGTGTGTGTGTGTGTGTGTTAATGATGCTTGAATATTTAACAAACTGTGCGTAACTTGCGCCGTGATTTAATTTTAATTGTGCAACTAATATTTTATATATAGTTGCTTGTCTGTTTGCTTATACATTTCAATGTGTGATTGATAATGATCGAATAGTACTAGTCCGAACCAGGACGAGACCTTGCGCAGAACAGTAAAGCTTGAATAAATATGACGCCGGCTGATTTTACGATATCGAATTATCTCCAACCGCATACCATACGTTTTATAAAAAAAGAAAGAGAAAAAAGATTCAGAACCGCAAAGATCACGAAACCAATAACCATTTTGCATGATATTAAAAACATTTCAGTTGTAACCTTTTTTCTTTTTGTCAAGAAAAGTAGTATAAAAATAGTATAAAAAGTAGTGAGAAAGAATTTTCTGTTTAACAACGTGTGACCTACAAAACTTAATTGCTCCTCCTTACGGTAGAGTAAAAAAAGAAAAGAACATTAGTAACTATAAAAAAAAAAAAATCACAAAAATTCAAGATTCAAGAAATTATTTTATATTGGAACGTGGAGAAACAAGCTATATAAATTTCCAAATACTTCACTCCCTCTGTCATCTTTAATTCAAAGCCAAAACATCCTTGAAACTGGCGAGCACAACGGATCAATTTCGGTGTTCAAATACACGCATCGTTTAGACGTCCCGGCGCAAATATATAAGGCGTACATATATCGCGTAGGTGGCTCCTTCTGCAAAGCGGGGTGAGAATAATCGTAAAAGTGGGCGTAGAAGGGTGTTCTGTATCGACCCGATCTGGGCGCGTGGAACTTAGATAGGAAAAGCAGCGAGGGCGCCTGGTGCCCCTCTTCCGGCGCCACTGGACAGTCTCGTTCCCATTGGATCGAGACAGGCCGCGAGCAATCGCAGCAGCAGCATCCAGTCGGCAGTTCTCGGCGGACCTCGTGCTCGCTCGGACGCTGTTTATGCACGCGTGTTGCATTTCCGGTCTCCCATCTTTCTCGCTCTTCCTCCTCTTGGGCTTTCTGGTACTGCTGCGTCTTCTGTCCTTCTCTCACTAGCGTTCTCTCTGTTCCCCTTTCTCACGATCTCTTGCTCTACCCCCATTCGGGTCAGCAGTTTTATCGAGGGTACAGCGGAGGCTACGCGTGTGCGATAAAAAAGAAAAGGGACAGGAGTGAGCGCAAGAACGAACAGCCGGTGCATCGTCGTCAGTGGATCGCCGCAAGGTGACGGTGCAAAGTGCATCGGAATCGTGCTCGTAGAACTTGGAGCTAAAAACTAATTTCTATAAGTTATCTATTCTTATAGAAGTTTTACAATTGTTGGGTAGGGTATTTTCAACACCCTTTCGAGCGCTGCTACATACACATACATATATACACGCAGTTACCGTGTCAATTGTATTCGCGAACGCGCTCGATGTGACCTGATTTTCTCCCCATGTCGCAAGAGTGTTCGTGCTTTTTTTCCCCGTCCAATACACGGAGAGCACGATCGAAGAGGACGTCGTGTCCCGGCGAACATTAATAAGAATACAGCGTGGCAAGCCAGCAACCCTGCCACGTACAATATGTTATTGCACACTTCGCTTCGATCGCCGGAGGAATCCGAGCAGCAAGACTGAATGCTTTAAGACTGGATTTTACCATCCCCTCTCTGGGACACTCCAATGAAAGTTTCCCAAGATACCGTTACGGAAAGAATCTTTGGCTACGTTCCTGTTTGTACTTGGACGATGCTACAGGCAAGAATAGAGGGATTCAAGGCGATCAGCCTTTCGGTCTAACTCTTCGTCGTACATTAGCAGCTTTACGACGAGCTTACAGGTCAACGGCACTAGTGGTTTATTTCCGGCATTGCCTTTCTTCAACTTGGCCACCTTATACTTGTGCGTACACGTCCTTCGCTCGACGCCCGGTGGTTCGTTCTCTCGGTGTGTCCCCACCCTTTTAGACAGGTGCACCCAGCGACCACGTGCGTTCCCAAGGCCGACGACCACCGGTACGCACCCGGTTCAGATCTACCACTTACGCAATCGCTATCCGAGTCAGATGTTAAACCCACATGGCTGAGGACATCGTCGATCGCGTCGGTGACAGACACTCCGCGATCCAGGTCGTCGAAGGAACGTGCAACCTGCCATCAAAAGACCTGTCGATTCTACGTTCGTCCGCATGATTTCTCACGGTGGAGTCCTCGTCCATGAATTTCTCCAGGGAGCGTGAATAATCGTGCGTGACGTTTCGAGGATAACGTCGACGAAGGGAAAGTAGTGAGACGAGCGGTGCGAATTGTACTAATTAGTGTTTATCAAGCCTATAACGCGATAACTGCGGATGGAAAGAAGAAATTTTGCAACCGGTTTCGAAAATTTTCTGAGATAACGCGGCTGGACGAAGATGCCGGGTAATCGTGCGTATTCACGATGCCAGTGTTTCATTATCGTCGTAGAATCAACCTGGGTAACAAGGCTCTTCATGGACTCGGAATATACGACAGGTTGAAGGCTCGCTGCCTATTCAGTTCCACAGAATGGTTTTATTGAGGATGAAGCGACGGTGAAGAGACGGTGAAAGTAACAATTTGAAAATGGGACAGCAGGGATCGAAGGGTAGGCCGACTCTTCGGACGGATTTTGTCAGAGACTCGGCGAAAATGCGACTCGGCAGTTTCAAGCGAGGTACGATCGTATAAATAAAAGGTACCCAGGGACGTTTAATCCATTCTTAAAACCATCTTTGTCGTTTCTAAATACTAATCCACGATGAAAATGCGAAAATTACCAATCTCCTTTTTTAATCCTTTAATCTCGCGACATAGAAAGAAAGGGAAAAAAGAAAAATCCGTGACTAATCCAGCAACTGTCATTTTCTTTCTGATTTATTTAATGCTAGAAAGTTGAAACGACAGGGTTGATTTTACGACCGTTGCATAGGCAATTGAAAATGTAGATGGGTCGAACCGTTTCTCTTGAGTGAGTCTAAATCGTTACGGACAAGGATCAAAGGTACCCTACTTACACACCTTGTCCCGTGATTTCTCTTTTACACTGGCCATCGATCACTGTTATTTTGAGGACTCTTTCAGAAAGTAGTTCGCCCCGTTATATCACACTCGTTCGCTGGTAACTGACTGATGGTATTTCATAAGCATAAGGAATATGCAGGATTATCTGTTACAATTGCGATTCAATGAACATCGTATCGTGAAATAGTATCGAAAGGATAACGATCAGAGTGAATTTCCTGGTTTTTGAAACGTACTTTTAGAGAGAATAAAGATATATTATTTCGTAACTGCTGTTTGATTTACAGTCAATATCGTATAAATACAGTAGAACGCTGTTTATATGAATTGCATTTATTCGAATTAAATTTCAATTAACACTTCGAGGCTCTTAGGACGAAAAATTACCCTGCACGATTGCGTTTTTGGTTATGAAATATGATAAAAGTTTTATTTTAATTATTTGAAATACAAAATTTCATCTAATTTAAACATAGTATGAAAAATGAAAAAATAGGATGTTTTTTATATTACTATGCCCGAAATAGTCTGGTTGAATCCACTTATTTGAATCGAAACTCCTATTATATGAACGAAAGTTTTAATGCAGGAGAGAATTAGTGGATTTTAATTATGTAAATTATTTATTCCACAGTGAGTTTATATAAATAGAATTCTGCTATATATTGCTGAGGAATGGCGTGGAAATATTACTTAACTATCCGCTATTGATTATGTTGGTAAACATTGTTCTAAATATTTGCTCAGCTAGTTTCTTTCATATGTAAGATTGGTTGGGAATATTATGCACACGATAGCTCAGGCCGTTATGTGCAGAAGCTTGCAAGGCAACGGCTACGTGCAGCCTGGTGTACATAATAAACGTTTTTCTTTTCTTCGTTGGTTTAATCGACGAGCATGGTTCAAACTTAGCTCTTCGTGTCAGTCTCGCGCCACTATATTGCCTCGTCAAGCACGAATTCCGATGATGCGCAAAATGTTATTAAAGTAACTACGACTGACGAGCGAAACGAAATTCCACGGTCGATGAACTATCTGACACGTAATCCTACGTGTTATGAAAACTGCTTGTTTTCGTAATTCCTTGTTATAAATAGGCACGCGAGAATAGACATAGAGAGAGAGAGAGAGAGAGAGAGAGAGAGAGAGAGAGAGAGAGAGAGAGAGAGAGAGAGAGAGAGAGAGAGATATTTGGCAGACTGTTAGGCGATTAGTGCGGGAGGTATTCCGAGGTGGTATTTAACCGCGATCGCAAGCGTTCATGGGGAAACTTTGGAACTGGCATGGATCTTTCATCGTTTGACGGATCTGCGACGCCTCGAATGGCGGTCGGGCAGACATTCGCGGCACAATGCCGAGTATCTCGTGCACCAAAGATAATTACATCCCTCTACTGGCATATTATTGTCCCAGTGGACCATTGTTACCTGGCGGCTGGCGATACAATGGTCTCCTCGTGGTATCTGCTGGCCCATTGTCCCGTAATTTATATTGTGATTTTACGAGTTTTCGGCGGAGCGTAACGCCGCCGTTTGCACCGGCGCCGGTTACGGAATCGCGCTCTAAACAGCAACGCCGTTTCGATAACAGCGTTCACCCAGTCGTAAATCATAGAGGCACGGCTGACGTTCGTTGCCCCGACGACACAATGTTCGATCTTTATCACTAGCGGGATCTCGTTCGCCTGACATTTTGCGGTCGAGAAGAACTTCTTGAATTTTGTTCCAGCGTTGAAATTAGCATTAGAATTGTTACGAAATGTTAAACGTTCTGGGTTCAATTTGCCTGTTACTATCATCACATTAAATATTGTACACATTCACTAGTGTCAATTGAAGTGGTACGTAACTTTTGTTAGAAATTTTGTAGATGTATTTTTAGACTTTTAAATGACTTTTTTTTT